AGTACAGCGGTGCATCAGCTCTTGCACTTCCTAAGCCCATGCAGGCTTACATTTCAGCAAATTTTAATTACATTAAAAACTGAGGCATAGTAAAAAAAAAATGTGGGGACATACTAACAATTTAGGCTAAATTTAGAGTTCCTTTAGTGGAGCACACCAAGGTATTTATCTGTATGTGAATGTTTTTATTTCCCACATACATTTTCACATTGAGTAGAACGGGGTTATGGAATGTAACATTTAAACTTAAAATACACATCTAGCAAATGAGATAAGAACAAAACCAAATATGTACTGATATCATTGTCCATGCTTACAAAAAAATTAAAAATTATATTTGTAGTCATGTCATTTACACAAAGTTGGGAGAGGAAGAGGGGATATTAACATTCCAGAATTTGTTGGAAATTGACTTAAACATGTTTAGTTCAGCTCTTGATTTTGAGTGCCATTCCTGGCACAAGAAAAAAAGGGGTAAAATGGACAAGAGGCCATTTTTTTTTCTTAGAAGCTAAGCTTACCATGATGGACAAGAGGTCTGCCCAATCATGGATCTCCTGTCCAATCAACAGGTTGCAAAAAAATATGATGATTGCTAGGAGGACAGCCAGAAAATATATTTGTTCTTTTGAAGTGATTCAAAAGAACCTAATTTGCCTTGGCCTGTGCAAGTCTAAATGTTAACTTTATTACTTAATTCAATACAGAAATTAGAGATGGTGGTATAAAGTTTGGTCTATATATATATAATATTGCATGCACAAATTACTCTAGTCCATTCTCTAACTAAAAGGCTCTTTCTGGTGTTGAAGTAAAACATTATACACATACATAGGCTAACAAAAGGCATATTTTCTGATATAAAAGTAATCAAGTAATCAAATAAATATTATTAGTAAAAGAGAAGTATAAGCACTAATACAAATATACTCCATTACGTAGGCAGATCTTATTTTTAATGACAATATTTTGTTAAATTAGTAGACAGATGGCTTGCTCACATCAATTATTGTTGCATGTGCAAATTAGATCACAAAATTCCACTATACTCCCTAGTATAGATTTTTGTGCTACTGAATACATCATCACCATAACAATGGCAATTTGTGCAACATTGCAAGGTTCGCTATCACATGTCGTGCTGTCACTCATTTTTATAATACAAGAAAAAATCATAATGTTAGACATTGCATCATACGTAGACAAAAAGATAAGCAAGATTGGTACCCAAACAGTCTACATTCGGTCTAGTTAAGAGACTTATGACGATGATGTGGTTACACATAGCCAAAATGGATTTAACCAAGATGCCAAGATAGAAATCACAGTTAATATATATATATTCCAAATAATGAGGGTGCACCCAAGGGGATTTCCGTAAATATAACTGTTATTTTATATTGCATGTTATCAAAAATACACACTGTCCCGATCGATGTTTCGACCCCTATGCAGGTCTCTCTCATCGATCGGGACAGTGTGTATTTTTGCTAACATGCAACAAAAATAACAGTTATATTCACGGAAATCCCCTTGAGTGCACCCTAAAAATATAGAAGCAAACTTTTACCTCGGTGCTATCTGCATTTAGTAGACAATCCAAATAATTAGGGTGCACTCAAGGGGATTTCCGTGAATATAACTGTTTTTTTATTGCATGTTAGCAAAAATACACAATGTCCCAATCGATGAGAAAGACCCGCATAGGGGTGAAACATTGATCAGGACAGTGTGTATTTTTGCTAACACGCAATAAAAATAACAGTTATATTCACTGTGCACCCTCATATTTGGATTGTCTACTACACGCAGATAGCACCGGGGTAAAAGTTTGCTTCTATATTTTAAAGGTGAGTGCCAAGTCTTTGATATATATATATATATATATATATGTGTGTGTGTGTATATATATATATATATATATATATATATATAAAACAAAGACACGCAAAAAAGCAAAACCATAAAAAAATATATAAAACAAAGACAAAAAAACAAAGCAAAACCATATATATATATATATATATATATATATTTAATTTATTTTTTTAGATGTTCCTATTAATTACGTATAGACAAAAGTATGACGTGTCTTCTCGTCCTGTGATCAAAGTATAAGTAGCTATTGTATTTTTATTAACATAAAGATGCTTGAAATGACAGCTCCACTTTAAGTGTAAACAGGATTTCAGTCACAGTGTTGCTGAGAATGTTTGCATAACAATGGACATTTTCTGATTGCCTATTTTAAGGGTCATGCAGTATGTTTACTCAATTTTCAGACAAAACAAAGTCAAGTAAGTCTAAGATGAGTCAGATGGCAGTCAAAGACACTATTCAGTTTTTCTCTAATAGCTTCATTCTTGTGTACATGTCCTTTATGCCGAACTTAAATTATGTTTAAGTTCTTGAAAGCAACTTTGAATAGGGTAAGAGGGAGAAGAGAGGTAGAGAATAGAAGAAATTGAAGCAGCCAATTGGTGTCTTGTTCTTGCTAGAAAAAAAAGGAAAACGAAAAAGAGGTTACAATCATATCTTACGATTCCATCCAACCATGGTTTGTTTATCAGGATACATTTTCCAGGTTTATTCCTCAAAATAAAAATTATGAAAAGAGGAACTAAAAAAGTTTTTTTATTTTCTTTTTAGACAATTTTTATTTATTTAATGTATTTTCTTTACAGACATTATATATATATATATATATATATATATATAATGTCTGTAAAGAAAATACATTAAATAAATATATATATATATATATATATATATATATAAACAATCATTAAAAAAAAAAAAAAAAAAACCCAAAGTAGAATCTCAAATAACACATATTCAGGATATACCACCCTGCATAAATATCAATGTCCAGAATGCACAGATACATTTTAAATATACAGTCAAATATATATGACTCTTTTATGCATGCCAACATTCTGATCATCCAAAAAAACTAAAAAAACTTTTTTATATACATACATCCACATATACCTACATATACATACGCATATATAAAGTGTAGATTGGATTAGTTGTATTATATATATATACACAAATATACATAGACATAGAAACATAGACTGTGATGGCAGATAAGAACCATTCGGTCCATCTAGTCTGCCCAATTTTCTAAATACTTTCATTAGTCCCTGGCCTTATATTATAGTTAGGATAGCCTTACGCCTATCCCACGCATGCTTAAACTCCTCTACTGTGTTAACCTCTACCACTTCAGCTGGAAGGCTATTCCATGCATCCACTACCCTCTCAGTAAAGTAATATTTCCTGATATTTTTAAACCTTTGCTCCTCTAATTTAAGACTATGTCCTCTTGTGGTAGTTTTTCTTCTTTTAAATATAGTCTCCTATTTTACTGTGTTGATTCCCTTTATGTATTTAAATGTTTTTATCATATCCCCCCATCTCCTCTTTCCTCCAAGCTATACATGTCAAGTTCCTTTAACCTTTCATTGTATGTTTTATCCTGCAATCCATGAACCAGTTTAGTAGCCCTTCTCTGAACTCTCTCTAAAGTATCAATATCCTTTTGCAGATACGGTCTCCAGTACTGTGTACAATACTCCAAGTGAGGTCTCACCAGTGTTCTGTACAATGGCATGAGCACTCCCCTCTTTCTACTGCTAATACCACTCCCTATACAACCAATCATTCTGCTAGCATTTCCTACTGCTCTATTACATTGCCTGCCTACCTTTAAGTAATCAGAAATAATCACCCCTAAATCCCTTTCCTCAGATGTTGAGGTTAGGACTCTATCAGATATTCTGTACTCTGCCCTTGGGTTCTTATGTTCAATATGCATTATTTTGCACTTATCCACGTTAAATGTCAGTTGCCACAACTGACATTTTTCTAGTTTACCTAAATCATTTGCCATGTGGCTTATCCCTCCTTGAACATCAACCCTGTTACATATCTTAGTATCATCAGCAAAAAGACATACCTGACCATCAATACCTTCTGCAATATCACGAATACGCATGTCAAATATCTCCTATACGCTAAGATTTTCATTTCTAAGCCGAGGCATTTCTTATTCTGCCATGTCTAACTATGTGCATTTTTCATATTTCCTTTTTAACCAAGATTTTACTCTAGGTATCCCTCTCTATTCAATAGAAAAGAAAAAAGTTCTCTATTAATTATTTTGATGGTCTATTCCTTAATTAATTCCATTTTCCTGACTTCCTTTCTGTCTTATTTAAATAACATTCTGCCTCTGAGAAGTGAACTTGTATCAGGGATACCATCTCTGGGCATGGTTTTTGCTAACATTTGACAGAGTTGCAATCCTAAATTCTGCAGCTTCGATCTCACATACTTTATTCAACCAATTCTGCAAGATGGAGAATCCTTAGTTTTCCCAGTAAAGGGGATTAAGGCTTTAGCATCAATTGAAATAAATCTACAACAGATTTCTTATACTGAGCTATTGAAAGGGTTGTATGATGTAGGAGGACATTCTCGGGTTAGAATGGTAGATCTTCACCCAAAATTATTTCCATAGCGGCTGGTATTCTTTGGGTGATGTGATGTGTTGGGTTTGTGCCAGACATAGCATTTTCTTTGATGGCCGAAAAGTTCAATTTTAGTCTCATCAGACCAGAGTGCCTTCCTCCATACATTTTGGGAGTCTACTACATGCCTTTTCGCAAACTCAAAATGTGCCATTTTGTTTTTTGCTGAAAATAGTGTCTTTCTTCTGTCTCTATGGAGCATATGGCTTATTGTCGTCCTATGTACAGATACTCCAGTCTCTGCTGTGGAACTCTGCAGCTCCTCCAGCAGTGGCGTACATACCAGGGTCGCAGGGGTCGTGGCTGCGACCGGACCCGGCCCACCAGGGGGCCCGGTCACCCCTGTGACCCGGTATGTACCCACAGGGCCAGCCTCTTCTCCTGGGGGGGCTCAGGAGCTGGCCATGTCAGGGCCCCCCCGAGGCTGGCCCTGCTGACCCGGGCTGGCTGTCTGGGTGGCCGGTGCATGAGGGAGCACTCACCTCTGTGTGCTCCCTCTTCAGCTCCCTCGCGCACCGCACTGATACCGGAGCCGGAAGATGACGTCATCTTCCGGTGCCGGCATCCCTATGCGGCGCACGAGGGAGTTGAAGAGGGAGCACACAGGGGAGAGTGCTCCCTCGCGCACCGGCCACCCAGACAGCCAGCCCGCCCGCCCAGCAGCACCACTGGACCACAGGGAATCCCCCCAGCTCTCCAAAAGGCAAAAGGTAAGGATTGGATTTTTAAACAGTGTTAGTGTCTGTGTTAGTGTCTGTGTTAGTGTGTGTGTTAGTGTGTGTTTGTGTGTGTGTTTGTGTGTGTGTTTGTGTGTGTGTGTGTGTGTTAGTGTGTGTTTGTGTGTGTGTTAGTGTGTTAGTGTGTGTGTTTGTGTGTTAGTGTGTGTATGTGTTAGTGTGTTTGTGTGTGTGTGTGTTTGTGTGTGTGTGTGTTTGTGTGTGTGTTAGTGTTTTAGTGTGTGCGTGTGTATGTGTTAGTGTGTTTGTGTGTGTGTGTTTGTGTGTTAGTGTGTGTGTGTTAGTGTTTGTGTGTATGTGTTAGTGTTTGTGTGTATGTTAGTGTCTGTGTGTATGTGTTAGTGTGTGTTTGTGTGTATGCGTTAATGTGTGTTTGTGTTAGTGTTTGTGTGTGTGTTAATTGTCAGTGAGTGTGTCTGTTATTGGGTGTGTGTCTGCTAGTGAGTGTGTTACTGTGTGTGTCTGTTACTGAGTGTGTTTGATGTCTGTTAGTGAGTGTGTGTTTGTCAGTAAAAAGTGTATGCTTTGTAAGTGAATGTGTATGTATGTCTGTCACTGAGTGTGTCTCTGTCAGTAAATGTGTGTGTCTGTTAGCTAGTGTGTATGTGTCTGTTCGTGAGAGTGTGTGTGTGTGTATCTTCAGCATTTTCTCCAGCATCGGACTCCCTTGGCGCTGGGGATCCCTCCGCCTCTCAGCTCCAAATGCACCTGCGCGGCAAGAGGCGTGCGCGCACTTAAACCGCCCATAGGAAAGCATTACTCAATGCTTTCCTATGGACGTTCAGTGTCTTCTCACTGTGATTCTCACAGTGAGAATCGCGGAATCTCCTCTAGCGGCTGTCAATGAGACAGCCACCAGAGGCTGGATTAACCCTCAGTGAAACATAGCCGTTTCTGCTGCCTCTCTGATTAATGTCCACTCCGTGAGTTTTGGTGGGCGGCCGTCTCTTGGCAGGTTTGCTGTTGTGCCATGTTCTTTCCATTTGGTTATGATCGATTTGATGGTGCTCCTGGGGATCATCAAAGATTTGGATATTTTTTTTATAACCTAACCCTGACTTGTACTTCTCAACAACATTGTCCCTTACTTGTTTGGAGAGTTCCTTGGTCTTCATGGCAGTGTTTGGTTAGTGGTGCCTCTTGCTTAGGTGTTGCAGCCTCTGGGGCCTTTCAAAAAAGGTGTGTAAATGTAATGACAGATCATGTAAAACTTAGATTGCACACAGATGGACATAATTTCACTAATTATGTGACTTCTGAAGGTAATTGGTTACACCAGAGCTTTTTATGGGCTTCATAACAAAGGGGGTGAATACATACGCACATGCCAATTTTATGTTTTCTATTTCTAAAAACAGTTTTATGTACATATTTTTCTCATTTCACTTCACCAACTTAGACTATTGTGTTGTTAATAAAACATTTAACTTAAGGCTGTAATGTAACAAAATAGGTAAAAAGTCAAGGGGGGTGAATACTTTTGCAAGGCACTGTAAGTCTTCAAACTTTGTGGTGCCTCCGTTCAATAAATGTTTTTTTTAGTATAGATTCATAAAAATCATTAATTTGGGTATATCAGCATTTCTCCATAAATGTGGGTGTACAGGTAATTACCAGATCTTCTATTTTCTTTAATCTCGAAGTACCCAGTAACCTTTGGATAATTTCTACATCGCCTGTCTCTGAAAAACCTTCTCCTATCTTAGGAATTTCTCCTGCAAAATCTGGATTGTGGGTAAGGGGCAAAAGAAGACTGGGTATACGTGCAACTAATGTGTATTTTTTAATCTGCAACCAAACATTCCATGTTGCATAAAAAAGGGCTATATGAGGGTATCTGTTGGGGAATTTTAAAGTTTGTAACCATGTCAAAGTCGTTAATGGGATGGGGCTCCAACCTTTTCCAAGGCCAATCATGGCTTATTTAAATCTGTAAAATACCATTCTTAAATTCGCAGCATATGTTCAGCTTGATAATATTGCTTAAAATTGGGGAGGGCCAAGCCTCCCTTTCATTTCAGAAGACATAAAATGTCATATCTGAGACATGGGTGAGAATCTCTCCACAAGATATTTATAGTGGCGTTTTTAAGTGATGAAAAAAAAGATTTCGGTAACTCAATCGGAATTGTCTGGCACAAATATAAGATTTGTGGTGGAATATTCCTTTAAAGGACATTGATACGCCCAAACCTATTTACGAAGGTCTATCTGAATTTCATTAAATAGTCAGAAATGATTACTCTGATAAGTTTGAGATGGGTCGGTGGTTATCCAGATACCCAGATACTTCATTTGGGCTGTACACCATGTAAATGGGAATTGCGCTTCCAAGTTGTTTTCTTGTGCTGAAATTGAAATAATTAATACTTCACATTTTGAGGCATTGATTTTAAGATTAGATAATTCAAATTTATATTCTGCTATCAAATTTGGTAGAGTGATTCTGGGTTTAGTGACAAAAAATAGCGCACTCAACTATTTTATGTTCTGCTGTTTGAAATTCTAACCGCTAATATTTGAGTGTCTCCTCACGCCTTGTAGCAAGGGTTTGAGAGTGAGAGCAAATCAAATTGGGGAGAGGGGAAATTATTTATCTAAACTATTTTAGAGTATGTCTCGTTTATATTTATTCGGGCATTTCGGATATTGTATAGAGATTTTCTCCGCAACCTTATTTTTTTCTCCCAAACCCATTTACTCTAAAGTTGCCTGCAATCAGTCCACCTGATCAAATGCTTTTTTCCACATTTGTTTGCATTGCCATATAAGAAGCAATGCCATATAAGAAGCATATTGCAGAAGGTCTTGATGGTAAGGTATGTCTTTTTGCTGATGATACTAACAGGGTTGATGTTCCAGGAGGGATAAGCCAAATGACAAATGATTTAGGTAAACTAGAAAAATGGTCAGAATTGTGGCAACTGACATTTAATGTGGATAAGTGCAAGATAATGCATCTTGGACGTAAAAACCCAAGGGCAGAGTACAGAATATTTGATAGAGTCCTAACCTCAACATATGAGGAAAGGGATTTAGGGGTGATTATTTCTGATGACTTAAAGGTAGGCAGACAATGTAATAGAGCAGTAGGAAATGCTAGCAGAATGCTTGGTTGTATAGGGAGAGGTATTAGCAGTAGAAAGAGGGAAGTGCTCATGCCATTGTACAGAACACTGGTGAGACCTCACTTGGAGTATTGTACACAGTACTGGAGACCGTATCTTCAGAAGGATATTGATACCTTAGAGAGGGTTCAGAGAAGGACTACTAAACTGGTTCATGGATTGCGGGATAAAACTTACCAGGAAAGGTTAAAGGATCTTAACGTGTATAGCTTGGAGGAAAGACGAGACGGGGGGTTATGATAGAAACATTTAAATATATAAAGGGAATCAACACAGTAAAGGAGGAGACTATATTTAAAAGAAGAAAAACTACCACAACAAGAGGACATAGTCTTAAATTAGAGGGACAAAGGTTTAAAAATAATATCAGGAAGTATAACTTTACTGAGAGGGTAGTGGATGCATGGAATAGCCTTCCAGCTGAAGTGGTAGAGGTTAACTCAGTAAAGGAGTTTAAGCATGCGTGGTATAGGCATAAGGCTATCCTAACTATAAGATAAGACTAGGGACTAATGAAAGTATTTAGAAAATTGGGCAGACTAGATGTGCCGAATGGTTCTTATCTGCCGTCACATTCTATGTTTCTATGTTTCTATGATTGTTATATAGCGCGATAGTGTCTAGCTGCTAAGAGTGCTGATAGTCTCGTCCTGACTCCCCAAAGTTCCACGTATGTTTCATCTAATTGTGAGGTTTTATGTCTAGCGTTGAGAACTCAGATTCTAGTTATTAATTTAAGAATTTTGCCCCGTTTAAACAGTTTTTAATGCAAACCTAGAGAAATCAGTTGTCTTCTGGTAACGCATTTATGCGCTTCCTAGAGGGAAAGGAAGGATACCTCTGTAGACTCATTCTCTGAAAAATATTTCTGTATATTTTGGTTTATCTGTTCATAAGCTTCTGGATCTGTCAATAAGGTTTCGTTTAATCTCCATGTCCATTCCTGCTTCCTTAGTAATTTATATCAATTTGAAGTTGGTTGTTATCTGACCAGGTCATTGGGATTATAATAGCTGATATTACATCAGTAAGATCTTCTTGTTAAACGAATATATAATCTATTCTCGAATAGGTCTTATGATGTGTTGAGTAGTGCATTTAATCTCTGCTTTCAGTATATTTATCCCTCCAGCTGTCCACCAGTCTGAACCCGAGAAATGCCCTCCCAATCTGTCTTAATTTTGTTGAGATAAAATACTTCTTCCTGTTGTACAGTCTATTCTTGGCTCCAACGGTACATTCAAATCTCTTCCCACTATACGTTTTCCCTCTTTGAACTTTGCTAACTTCCTAAGGGTTTCCACTCTGAATGATGTTTGTCCCGAGTTAGGTGCATACATTGTTGCTTAAGTGTAACCTTTATCCATTATCATGCCCTTAACAAAAAGTATTTTTTTTATTTGAAAGTACCTGAGGATCTTGTAAGTGTACATGAGAAGAAAATAAAATTGCAACCCCCCCTTTTTTGCCTCACAATGATACCCTTTTGGGAACCATTTAACATATAATTTTGGTGCGTTACCTTCCTTAAAATGAGTCTCCTGCAAGAAGACCACTGAACTATGCGATGACCACAAATCTCTGAAGGGATGAGATCTTTTCTTTTATCTTAAGCTCTTTACAATTGATGGTTCTAATTCATAATGGAAGAGAACTCAGCAGCATAATATCAGAGTATGCGCACGAATAGAAGAAGTAAAATAAATACATTAAAAAAACAAAAGATAAATAAAATAAAAATAAGAATGAAAACCCTACAATCACGCTCCTCTCCCGCCAAACCCCAATTGTCTATATGATCAGTGATGGGTAGGTCACTCCGTCAATCTACTTTTTCCCTAAAGTGGCTAGTGGTAGTCCCTCCCCCCAGTGCTACAGAGCATGTATTTTGCATAGTTATACATGGGATAAACAATAGTGGGAAAGTCATAACAGTAAGGGTGGACAGATATCCTGTCAGGTATTTGCGTGGGAGATGAAGCAGTGAGGATGGATGGCCTGACAAATAAATATTTTACGCTGAGTGAGTTCAGTATCAGAAATCCCATGGTAATGGTTGTCAATGGTACGTTCATATGTACTATAGGAGTGCGACCTGGAGTAGTGTATTTCCTCTAGAAGGTGTATGGAGCCAACTTTATTGATCCATGCTCGGATAGTAGGTGCCTCTGTTTTTTTCCAGTGGCTAGGGATGAGAGCGTTTGCAGCTGTGAGTAGGTGTGTGGTTAAGGATCTCATACTCTTGGGGACCGATGGTGGGAGGTGGAGGAAGAGTGCAGTTTCTGGAGATTGAGGCTGTTGAACGTTGGTGATGGTATGGATCATCTTAATGACTGGACAAGACCACCATATGTGGCTTGGGGTTCCCCAAGGGTGGGGACATCTCCAACTCTGCGCAGAGGAGTTTGGGAAGATTGTGTTTATTTTGGACGGGGTGAGGTGCCACCTGGATAGCCGTTTAAAGTTTTCTTCCTGTGTGTGCGTGCTCATGCTTGTCTTGTGTACGTAGGAAAATATGTGTTTCCAATCTGTTTGCGTTAGGGAGAGGTTGAGCTCGGATTCCCAGGATTTTGTGTATTTGGGTAGGGCGGGCGATATTTCCGTTTGCATTAGTTTGTATAGGAGGGAGAGATATCACTGGAAGCACAGTGTTGTTCAAATGAGGTAAGTTGCCGATGTCCTTGGAGAATGTTGGGGGTGGTTGATAGGAAGTGGGTGAGTTGAGAGTGACGGAATTGTTGTAGGGTCGAGGGTTGTGTATCTCCAGATACACAACCAGATTGCGTTGGGTGGTCTAATTCCTTGGTCATCTAGTAGGGTTCGCAGTTGGAGGCAGTGGGTGTGCGAGAACGCAGTGAAGGAGGAAGGGGAGAGGCCCAGAGGGAATTGAGGGTTGTAAGTCAATGGGTATAGAGGAGACAGGTGAGGGGATATGCCCAGTTTATTTCTTATTTGCGACCACACTTTAAGGGTGGGTATGATTGTGGGGTGCTTTGCGTGGGTTTGCAAGAGTGAGGATTTTCCTGTTTGTTGCCACGGGATAGTGAAGAGGGGATGCTGAAAGGCAGATTTTTCAAGGAGCACCCAGTGTTTGGGATTGTTGGGAATGGTCCAGTCATAGACCCTATTGAGCATAGTAGCCTTATAGTACAGTTCTACATCCGGGAGGCCCAGGCCACCTTGGAGTTTGTGGTTTGTAAGGGTGTTGTATGTGAGCCTAGGAGGGGAGTGCGACCATATAAAGCGGGTAAAGGTCTTCTTAATGTTGGTGAAGAAGGATGCCGATAGTGTAATGGGGAGGGTTTGTAGAAGGTATAGAAGTTTGGGGAGGACATTAATTTTGATAATATTGATGCGGCATAGCCAACCGAAGTGTGGTTTGTGCCATTTGGTCAGATCTTTACCATGGAGAGGAGGCGATATTAAAAACATTTTAAGAAAAGTGGAAATGGAATGGGTCTATAAACTGCAGACCCTCTCACCCCAAGGTCT